AGTTTTTAAAAGTGGTAATAGTAAAAATAATAAAAGTGTATCAGCAGGTGACAGCAGGAAGAGGGATCAACATTTTAACTTAGAACTAAAGAGAATTAAAGTACTAAGCTCTGTTCCATTTTCAAGCGAAATTTTTTTTGGAATCCCAAAAAATTTTCGCTTGAAGATGGAACGGAGCTTAATACTAATTCAAATTAATAATTATATTGAAATAATTAAACATGAGAACTCTTATGTAGCGTGTTGAAATCATATTTTAAATAAATAATTATATATATATATATATATATATATATATATATATATTCTATCTCTGATATTGGTTCTTTCTAATAAATGAGCGCATATAATATATAAATAATTATATATATATATATATATATATATATATATATATATATATATATATATATATACACACACATTTTTCACACACTTTTCACACTTTTCACACACACACACACACACACACACACACACACACACACACACACATATATATATATATATATATATATATATATATATATATATAACTGAATAAGTTTCTGGCAAATAGGTGAAAGGTCTGACGTGTTATTCTGGCTCAGTTTAATTGTCTACCCAATATTCTGCGAACATAGCAATTTATAATTATTCCTTATTCTTTTGATTTCCCGTTAAATTATAAACAAGCGCAGTCTCTAAGCAAATTCCGATATTGGCTTGTTCTTTTGATGTCTCAGAAGTCATAGGTAATATGATATCGACTTGTCATTTAACGTTCACCTACATATAACTCGATTTTTTTCCCCAGCGATCATTGCCAAACTGCAACGTGAATGTTTTTATAATGTCTGAATGTATTTACTGACATAGCACATATTTAACGATAATTTGGTCATCATAGTTGCATCTGTTTTGCTAACTGATTTTTTCATTTCGTTTCTCTTAAAACGTTTCACCCCAAGCAAGGCGATTAAGCCACTAAGACGCAATAAGTAGCGGAGGGTAAAAAAATTGAGAAATGTTATTAAAGAAAGAGGAGTCAATAAATTGCCAGAACACAATCGATACACACAATAACGATTGATTTTTAAATTTTTGAAGATCCTATTTGACAGGGAAGCAAGAAATCGGTAGAGAGTTCCACAATTGAGAAGTGCGAGGAAGAAGAGACTAATTTTGGTAATGGCTAAAACTGACAACTTCATCTGTGAATTTATGAAACACGGCTGTTAATCTAGTACTGTGCTTTAATTCTCAAATCGAGGTACCAACGAAGAAAGACTAACAGAAGATATTTATAGAAGGGGCAGAGGGTGGCTGTGTTATGGCGGTGGGAATTCGACTGAGACCGAGATGCCATGTCAGCACCGATAATCTTGCTGTTTCTTTCGATTTGATTGATTGATTTTCTAAAACTTATTAACCCATTGCAGGTTGTTTAAATTCAGAATATACCTTTATATTGTAATAATTATTTTTAGAATGATAATAATGGTTTCAGTGATAAAGGTCTCACTAATTAACTGGGTGGGAGGGAGAAAAGGTTGATTTATAACTCTTTTTTTTGGTGTGGGGGGGTGATTATAACGAACCCAACGCGTATTAGATCTCGGATTTAGGATTAACAACTGTGAGCTGTTTTATCATCCGCATATCCCGACTTACACTACCTATTCCCAAGCAGTCACTCATCGAGGTACAGATCAGGCTCGACGTGGCTTAACTTCGGTGTTTCGGGGACCGGTGTTTCAACGAGATGTCCCCGTAAGCATTTGGATTTTACAAAGGATCTCTGGATATACAGCGGAAGCACTGGAGTTGTTGTGGCAACGACATTCGACACACGGATGAATGACTTGATTTTCAAGAACACTTGTCTAACAAGATATACCGAATTGATTTCCCTATGAGCAGACATAGAAATTGATTCAGTAAAAACTCAGGAGACTGAAGGCATTGCATTTAAATTTATGAAGATCAAATTTACCTGGAAAGCAAGAAGCTGGAAGATTGTTCCATTAGCGAGAGCAGCAACTCACTGTTACATATTTTTTAACATGAAAAGATGATACCTAATTAAGGGATAGTCCAATACTCCTCAAACATTTCACTCTCCCGATGAAAGGCCTTGCTGCCTGATGTAGATGCTTCCGAAAGCAATTCTCTTTTTCTTCTTTATGTCCCATGTTCTTTCAGGGCGTAGGCGATCATGGCTCTCCACATCCTTCTATCCTTTGCACTTCTCAGTAAGTTCCTTCCCTCTGCTTCCTCCCCCAGACCACGTTCTGTCATCCACTTGCTCAAGAACATCACGCGTTGCTTTCTTTGTCTCTCATTCCCTCTATTCGACTCGTGTGTATCAGATTCTCCGGGCCCTACGTCATTATTTTTGCACCAACCTAATATTATAATTTTCATAGCAATTCCATTTTTCGATTTATTAAGTCTTCTCTTTCAATTATTTTACCCCAAGCAAAGCCAAAAAAAAAAAAAAAAAATGCCCGTCCTGGGTATGACGGTAAAATACATCCGCGTCCTGGGTAAGACAAGAAACTACGAATCGTATTTTAAAATGTATCGTATTGCATTTATCAAATATTAGGTTGATGCAAAAATAATGACGTAATTTCGTTTTTTGACGTATTTTTTAACGTCAAAAAACGACATTATTACGTCATTATTTTTGCACCAACCTAATAAATTCAGTCAGCTTATATTTTCTTTTCACTCAAATTCTAATGAAAAATCAATGGGGAGATATTTCAATTAACTACCACAACTTTCCATTGACAGTGATATTGTTTTAACTACTCCACTCGTCGTTATTTTTTTAAAAGGCAATTATTAGGACCCTGAATATCTTTTCGCTGCTTTCCAAGAGATGGTGTTCCCATAACTTTGTGAGTGTCGTTTCAGATGGTAACGCTTCTATAATGAAGTACTATAAGCAAGCTTGAAATTCAGTGTATGTCATTTCGCCGAAGTGTAAACAACTTGGTTTTTTATAGCGTTAAACATGCCGGATCTCGTGTCAAAGAAAGTGTATTTGCAGGGAATTTTACTGCAATGCTTTATTCAAAGGAAATCTGCAGCTGAAGCACACAGAATTCTTGTTGAGACTTATGGCAACTATGCTCTGTGGGAAAGAGGATGAAGATATATATTTAGACGCTTCAAATATAATTAATTTTTTACTGAGAATAAAGATCGCTCTGGCGCTCCGAAAAAGTTTGAAGACGATGAGTTGGAGGCTTTAATTCATGAAGACTCATGTCAGTTGCAAACTGAACATACAGAAACATTAGGAGTCGATCATACACCAGTTTTGAAATGTTTGAAGGCATTAAGAATGATTCAAAAGCAAGGATAATTGGTGCCGTAAGAGGTGAAGCCGAGAGATGACGAACGGCATCTTTTCACGTGTAAACAGCAGTTTCAACGGCAGAAAACGTAAGGTTTTTTGTATCGTATCGGAAGAGTAGATACACTACGATACTCCTAAGTACGTTTTGAATTCAGAGTTTTCCTTCTCCTAGACCTGTTGCCATAAAAGGCTATAAAAAGTAGTCTGTTCTGCTATTTACTCATAGATGGAGGGAGAAGAGGATTAATTCCTTTGTCAAGGGTATTAGCACGTAAGTGAATGTAATGGATTTGACTGGAATTCGAACTCGGCTCTACGTTTACTCAATCCGTGTCGCCATCCACCAATGTGTTTGTATGCATATATATATATATATATATATATATATATATATATATATATATATATATATATATATATAGAGAGAGAGAGAGAGAGAGAAAGAGAGAGAGAGAGAAAGAGAGAGAGAGAGACTGGGCCGATTTTAAATGTGAATTAAGCTTTTTTTTCAGATTTAACAACTTTTGCAACTTCAGACTTGTAAAGATTAACAATCAAACAACCTGTTAAAGTTATCTAAGCCTATCACAAGAATGGATCTTCAAACAGAAATGAATTTCACGCTCTTGCCGACATTTTGGTTAACAGAAACGTCCAACCGAGAGTATAATTGGAAAACCTGTTCGTAAATTTAATCAAACTAGCCGTTCAGCTGAGAACATTGCTGCATTTGACGAGAATGTGGCCGAAAACCCAGACACCTCTATTCGTCATCGCGTGCAGGAATTGAATTCCTCCACAACAATGTTACATCAAATTTTGCTAAAAGATTTGTGTCTAAACGCTTACAAAATTCAGTTGACACAAGAACTGAAAACTGCTGATCATTTCGAGCGCCTTACATTCGTCAGGTATGTGCACGAGCAAAGACAACCCGATGAAGATTTTTCGCAAAAAATTCTCTTTAGTGGTTAAGCCCATTTTCATCTTGGTGGATTCGTTAATAAGCAGAATTGTCGCATTTAGGCTCAGGGAAATCCATGGACGATTGTTGAAAATGACTGTTTCTGCGATACAGAATCTAAATCCTGGCACGTTTTGGGCGAAATATTATACCAAAAGACAGCTTCTTGTGGAGAAATTTGGCTCTTTTTAGCCATAGTCTTAAATGTCCGGTGATGTATTTCGACAACGGCATACTCACTCGGCATGTAAGTTATTCTAAAGAAACGCCTCACGTTCCACTTCTCTAACATCTCTTTCAGGGTTGCTAGGCGGAAGGCGGTGCCGTTGTCCATCAGCATCTCAGTTACCGGACTCCTCTTCCCCCCCCAAGAAAAAAACCTACTCGAGGACACTTGCAATCTCGATTTCATTTTCCGCTCTAATTTCACTCTATACGGCCACCCGTCCGGGTCCATAATCGATCATCGACAGTTATAGTCCCTATCGATAATGCGTCACGTCGATGTCCAGTCGGGTACTATCTTCTTTCACCTGACATCCACCTGCTATATGTCTAATTCGTTTTGGATTTATGGACTGACACTTGCTGTACGTCTCTACCACAGCTTTAACTGCCTACTTAGTGCTGCTGGGACCCACCTTCATAGCCAAGAACAGTGTTCTGTCCTGTCCAGAATGGAGCATGTCATGGAACTCTTTCAGTCTCGTCTGGCTGCCTACAGCAGCTGTTTCTCGTTCTGCCTCTTTCATGGTTTTGTTCGGAGCCCCAAGCCAGGTTTTCTTCACTCTTATGATTGTAACCGTTCTATTCTTCACCCACGGGACAAAAGTGATGTTCAGCTTCAACTCAATCTCTTCAATATGTGCTCGAAGTGTTCCTAACCGTCACCTCACAAGTACCTCGGCGGCTACCTTCGTCTTCATTTTCCTTTCTCCGGTGATTTCTGACCTGACTTATGAAGCCTTCGTGGCCAAGTCAGTTCTCACTTCAATTCTTCACAATCATCTTTTTATAGTCAGGTTCTTGCTCTTCATGACTGCATCCGATTCTGCCTTATTAATATGAGGGTAGTCATTTTTCATTCGCAACCAGGCTGCATCTTCCGAGGTGACACCACCTATTTCTAAAATGGCTCACCACTAGACTGCTCGCGTTGCCTCACAGAACCTCTTTTCTGCTGTCGCATATATACCAGCGTCCGACGCTGGATTCTCTTTTTTCACCTCTGAAATATATTCCCCCGCTTCGTTGCTATCTTCCCAATTCTCTTCTCCAGCCAGTCTTTTGACGTAGCCACATTCAATACGTAGCCATCCAGAAATCCGATAATGACCAAATAGCTTCCGAGAAATAGAGAGTTTTCCCCTAATCAGCGTATCCGTCAGACCAAGAATATAATTCCCTCTTTGGAAGACTATCTTGGTCATTTCTCTTTGTATTCTTTTTTTTTTAATCGGAGCCTCAATACTTCCAATGATTTCGCGGTCAGCCCGAGCCTGTCGAGATAACATATCATTTGATCAGGCGTCGCCACTGTTTCATCTACCCTTATATCATCCATGTAAAAATCAGGAACTTTTATAACGGCATATTTCTCCCCTGGTGCTTTCTTAAGTACTGCCGTCATGATTTTGAGGGCAGAGTTTAGACCAAAGCGTAAACTGGTTACGCAATAGGTTCGGTCTTTATACTTGACCAGCTGATGTCTCCACAATTTTTCAGCAACGTAGATCAGCGCGTAAGCAGATTTCAGGTCAAGAATCGTTGAGGCGCGTTCCATTCGTCTCTATTTCCGCAGGGCCTCTCCACTCATATCTATTTCTGTGACTTTGACATATTCATTCAATTCTCGAAAATCCAATACAAGTCGAACGTTCTGTTTCGTGGGCTGAACTACTGCCATTAGTAATAGTACTCTTTCAACCTTCCCTGTCAACGGCTGCAGAATCCTTTTCACGATCCATTGCTCCACCTCTTTTTCGAAGTATGCTTTTTGTACCGACCTCGTAATGAATTCTCATAGCAGCCAACTCTGTTTTTTTTTTTTCTTTTTAGTATAGGTGCATCTTCCTTACAACTCTACTCAACAGTTCACAGATTTCCATCAAAGTCTGCGAGAAAATCATGGTCCTCTATGACATATTTTTCCCAGATGCTGCATTATTGTTTCCACTGTTACTCCTCTCTGGCTGCTCGCTTGAAGCACAGGACTGAATGCCGATCACCACGTTTTTATACACGGTCGGTCCAGTTACGTAATTGCATCCATGCCGAGAACAAGTCGCCATCTGCAACCATTCGATTAATTGCAATCACCTGGATTGTGAGTGGCGTCAGTCACACAACCAATCAGACCATACGCTTTCCATTTCACCGCACTGTTCTGCCATCAATTTTTGGTACAGTTCTCGTCCAACTCCACCTGTCAACCACATTTTTGGTGACCAGCCTGTTTCGACGAGGGTTTCAGCACTTCGCCCATTCACTGTTACAACTACTTGTGGTAGTCTGCTCATTGGTCACATATAAATAGTGCAAATAATAATGGAACAACATTCAAGTAATATACTTTCGACATTTCCTATCTGCTCAGTTTTATATCCAGACGGAAACAAAGACGTTTCTAAAGAAATATGTTTTATTTATTAATCCGACAAATGTTATCACATTAAACCCGATTTTAGTGGGAAGTTGTATTTGAGTAGACATCCCGTATAATTATTAAACGGTATATTTACTTTTTTTCATTATCGGACTCAATATTTGATAATAATTTAATTTATTATTCTTTAATAAGATTCCTCGAATATTCCGGTCGGCAAACAAAAAATAAATAAATATATTCTTTAATAAAATATGTAAATGCACTAGAAAATATAAACACAAAGTTAAAATAGATTACATAAACACTCGTAAGAAGGCCAACAATAAAAGGACAAAACGCCAGAAATTTCAAAATGAACGTACAGGAAATCATTTTTAACAGTGAAATATGCAATTGTAATAAAAAAGCAGATGTCCATTAGATGAAGTTAGCAAAACTGAGAGCTGTAATTTATATTGCAGATTTAATAGATACAGATGACCAGAAAAAAAATACACATAGGGTGTACTTTAAAAAAAATGGTGAGCCAATCATAAGTCATCTTTTAGGCTAGAAAGCCTTTGAAATTCTTCTAAACTAGCCAACCATATGTGGAAATTAAAAGAGAAAAATCAAAATTATATCATTGTATACTGGAAATTTTGAAAAAGAGCTAATACGGGCAACAATCATAGCAACATATGCAACATTTGTCAACAAAAGAAATTATCTATAATAACATTTCCAGACAAAAAACCCCAACTTTTTTTAAACAAGAGATCAGAAATTATGTCCCGTTGTATTCATACTAAATGTTCCTTTTGGGTTGATTTGAAGTGGAATAAAAAACGTATATATATTTCATTTAATCCCCCCCACCAATATATTCCCAATATACTTGATTTTCATCTACTCTACCTCTCCCACCATACCTTCTACCACACCTCACGTCATGCACATATTCATTTCTTTTTTTTTATATGATAGAGTTCATAATTTTTTATTTAAAAAAAATAAAGTGTAGGAACTCGATTGACTGAAATCACTTGAAGATACCGAAATGTTGAAACCAAAATTTTCAAAAAAGTTGTACATGTTAATTTTTTATCTTTTTATATGTGTATTGAGCACGTTTTTACTACCAAGGTTTCCTGATCAAATTAAACTCTGACCATTATCTTTTCTCTCTCTCTCTCACTCTTTGTATATATATATATATATATATATATATATATATATCCTGCATCCTACAGCACATTATGCTACATAATAAATACTGGTTTAAGCGATCATGTATCTTTCGATACATGACTGACAAGGCAGTTTTTTTTTTCAGCAGTAGCCATTTATTTCTGCGGAACAACCTGGTCTGTCCTCCTATTTAACCATTGTCGGGTGGGGTAGAAGAGGATTCACATATTTCCCAGGGGTTTTAGCACATAAATGAATGTAATGGCTTCGGTTGGAATTCGAACTCGGCTCTCTGATTCCGCAATCCAGCCTGCTCCCTGGTAGGCATTTCTGAAAACCGTCTGGATGTAGATAATTTCATATTCATTAAATCTTGGCTTAATATGAGGCTTCACAGAAATGAAGTGAATTCGGATTGAATATCAAATTAACTCTGACATAATAGCAACGATATTTTATGTTCTTGCCACAAATTGATTCTCTATTTAAGCATCCTGTCCCTTCCACTAACTCCATTGGTGCCATATTCCGGCAGCTCCGAGCGTTCGCCTCCTCAGAAGAGATTACATTTGGAAGTTGAGTAGCTACTTAACAAAGACATTTCGACACATGGCTGAGGCCATTTTCTCGCCTAACAATCACCTAGGCTTCGTGTTATATTTGTCGGATTCATCTGCTATATATTGTTACTGAGAATAATTTTAAGGAGAATCGAAACGTAACCGAATACATATTTAACCTTTGATGGAAAGGGTTATGTTTCAGTGGTTACCAATTGACATACAAAGCAAATTATTCTTTCTTTTCTGTCTATGTGCATGCCATTTTAGAACGTAGACGACTATGGCTCTATCCTTCCCTCTATCCCTTGCAGCTCTCAACAAGTTGCTTCCCTCTGCCATCTCCCATTGACCGCTTTCTGTCATCCACTCGCGCCCGCCCGCTAGGTATATCATGCTTTGTTTTTCGACATGTGAGTATCAGATTCTCCAGACCTTCCTGTGTCGCAGAAACTTCAGCTGCCTCTTTCTGTTTCTATGTGCATGCCATTTTAGAACGTAGACGACCATGGCTCTATCCTTCCCTCTATCCCTTGCAGCTCTCAACAAGTTCCTTCCCTCTGCCATCTCCCATTGACCGCTTTCTGTCATCCACTCGCGCCCGCCCGCTAGGTATATCATGCTTTGTTTTTCGACATGTGAGTATCAGATTCTCCAGACCTTCCTGTGTCGCAGAAAACTTCAGCTGCCTCTTTCTGTTTCTATGTGCATGCCATTTTAGAACGTAGACGACTATGGCTCTATCCTTCCCTCTATCCCTTGCAGCTCTCAACAAGTTCCTTCCCTCTGCCATCTCCCATTGACCGCTTTCTGTCATCCACTCGCGCCCGCCCGCTAGGTATATCATGCTTTGTTTTTCGACATGTGAGTATCAGATTCTACAGACCTTCCTGTGTCGCAGAAACTTCAGCTGCCTCTTTCTGTTTCTATGTGCATGCCATTTTAGAACGTAGACGACCATGGCTCTATCCTTCCTCTATCCCTCTCAACAAGTTCCTTCCCTCTGCCATCTCCCATTGACCGCTTTCTGTCATCCACTCGCGCCCGCCCGCTAGGTATATCATGCTTTGTTTTTCGACATTCAGATTCTACAGACCTTCCTGTGTCCATTCTCCTTTCTGTTTCATTGCATGCCATTTTAGAACGTTTCTGTCATCCTTCCCTCTATCCCTTGCAGCTCTCAACAAGTTGCTTCCCTCTGCCCTCCCATTGACCGCTTTCTGTCATCCCTCGCGCCCGCCCGCTATATATCATGCTTTGTTTTTCGACATGTGAGTATCAGATTCTACAGACCTTCCTGTGTCGCAGAAACTTCAGCTGCCTCTTTCTGTTTCTATGTGCATGCCATTTTAGAACGTAGACGACCATGGCTCTATCCTTCCCTCTATCCCTTGCAGCTCTCAACAAGTTCCTTCCCTCTGCCATCTCCCATTGACCGCTTTCTGTCATCCCTCGCGCCCGCCCGCTAGGTATATCATGCTTTGTTTTTCGACATGTGAGTATCAGATTCTCCAGACCTTCCTGTGTCGCAGAAACTTCAGCTGCCTCTTTCTGTTTCTATGTGCATGCCATTTTAGAACGTAGACGACTATGGCTCTATCCTTCCCTCTATCCCTTGCAGCTCTCAACAAGTTGCTTCCCTCTGCCATCTCCCCATTGACCGCTTTCTGTCATCCACTCGCGCCCGCCCGCTAGGTATATCATGCTTTGTTTTTTCGACATGTGAGTATCAGATTCTCCAGACCTTCCTGTGTCGCAGAAACTTCAGCTGCCTCTTTCTGTTTCTATGTGCATGCCATTTTAGAACGTAGACGACCATGGCTCTATCCTTCCCTCTATCCCTTGCAGCTCTCAACAAGTTCCTTCCCTCTGCCATCTCCCATTGACCGCTTTCTGTCATCCACTCGCGCAAGCCTGCTAGGTGTATCATGCGTTGTTTTTCGACATGTGAGTATCAGATTCTCCAGACCTTCCTGTGTCGCAGAAACTTCAGCTGCCTCTTTCTGATGTTAAGTATAAGCCTCTTCCTTGTTTGCATCATTTCTAAGACCTCATCGTTGCCCACACACTCGTTCCATGATATCCTGTGCATCCTTCTGTAAAAGCACATCTCCGTCGCCTCGAGTCTCTTCTCCATCGTTGAGGAAATCATCCAACATTCACTGCCGTAAAGCAGGACAAATATCATGTAACAGCACAATATTCTTCTCTTCGTTACCAAAGAAATCCTCCTGTGTCGCAATATTCTACCTAGCTTTTGGAATGCGTTTTTGGCCATACCTATACGTCGACGGATCTGTGTTACATTTACCGTCCCCTGTCAGAATACTTCCCATATATTTAAACTTCTACGTCTCCTTGATTCTAATGTTCTCGACCTGGAAATCACATTTCGGGATCATTTTTTTTACTGATGAGCATGCATTGTCTTCTTGTAGTTTATGCTTAGTCCCTTTTTCCCACTCTCCGTCACTACCTTCTGTTGGAGGTTTTTGTTTGATTAGCGGCACATCAACTCTTTATGGGTCATTAAATGCCGAAATTTAATTTTCTTGGAAGCATTATTAATTTCTTTTATAAAAATGTAATACTATTGTTTTTTTTCTTTGTTTTTTTCTTTTTACAAAAAATGAAATAATAATAATAATATTTAGAAAAATGTACTGCTGGAAATATATACATATATATATTTTTACAAGAAATTTATTGCTGGTAATGTTTTTTGTCTTTTTACAAAATGTATTGTCATTTTTTGTTATTTTTAACAAAGAATGAATGGCTGGTACCACTTTTTCGTTTTATTCTTTTTTACAAAATATATATTGCTGTTAATAATTTTTGTTTTTACCAAAAATATATATTGCATATCATATATTTTGTTTGTTATTTTTTTTACCTATAACTGTATTTAGAAGAAATATATTAATGGTCATATATTTTGTCTTCACAAAAAAAATGTCTTGCATGTAATATTTTTTTCTTACAGATATCTATTGATGGTAATTTTTAAGATGTTTACAAAAATATATTGCTGGTAATTACTTTCTATAAAAATATATAACTGGTATCTTTACTATAAAATTTTTATACTTTCATAGCGTTTTGACTCCAACTTGGGGGGCGGGGCTAATAATTTGCCAATAGCTGGGTTCCTAACAAGTGCTGTCACACCAGTTCAGGATGGACCTGGGAACAATT